CCCCATTGTCTTTGCTCTTAGTTGCTTCAGCCCAACTAACAAAGGTGAACTTTCCTCTTCAAATCCAACCCTCCTTCCCCCCCCTCTCTCCCGGCCACAAAAAGTTTGCTTGAATTCTATCAAATGCCTTAGCCACAGATGAGGGCATCTTGAAGATAGATAAATAAAACGTAGGTAAGCTGGACAGTACAAAATTTATGAGCGATAACCTTCCTCTAAATGAGAGGAGTTTCCTCTTCCATGAGGCAAGTCTGGCTCTATATTTATCAAGTACAGGCTTCGAAGTCTTCTTAGCTTCTGATACCTGCAATTCAGTCTAGATGCAAACTCCTCCAACTCTTGCTCAGACACGCCTATTCCACATACAAAGCTTTTATGAAAATTAATTTTCAAGCCAAAGACTAACTCAAAGCATCTCAAAATCCTTTTAACTACCGTTATCACCTCCATGTCAGCATCGCAAAAAATAATTGTTACACTAGTGAATTAGAGATGTGAAACCGTAGCATCTTGACCCACCATAGCCCCTCTAAGTAGCCCCAAAGACCTTGCCCTTAGCATCAGCATATTGAGACCGTTGACCACTAGGTTAAATAGGAAAGGAGACAAAGAATCACCTTGTCGAAGGCCTTTACTAGGGTTGAATTCAGATGTAGGAGATCCATTCACAAGAACTGAAATTCTAGAAGATTCTAGGCACTCCCTAATCCATCCCCTCCACCTAACTCCAAAACCAAACTCATCCATTATAGATAGTAAACAACCCCAACTTACAGAGTCATACACCTTTTGGAAATCAAGCTCTAGAATAACTCCCTTTTTCTTAGTAACCTTCCACCAGTCAACAATTTCATTAGCTATTAAAACCCTATCCAACATATTCCTTCCACCCAAGAAGGCTGATTGTGCCTCAACAATAACCCTTAACACCACCTTCTTTAACCTATTAGCTAACACTTTGGCAAGAATCTTATACAGGGACCCAATTAGGCTAGTAGGTTTGTAATCTGAGATGCTAGCTAGACAGTCAACTTTGGGAATTAGAGTAATAAAAGAATTATTCACCCCAGAAGCCAACTTTCTATTGACCACCTTCCAACAATTTTGGAAACAAACCAGGTTAAACCCATCGGGCCCAGGGGCTTTATTCCCATCACAACTTTTAATAGTAGCCCACACTTCATCTTTCGAAAAATCAGCTTCCAATCCATCTACCAGTTGGTCCTGGCCAATGGATCTAAAGTGCCTTCTCAGCTGTGGTCTTTTCCCCCAACCTTTAGTAAACACTTGTCTGAAATGCCTAAGCACATCCTCTTTCACCATGGTTGGGTCCTCAAGTATTACCTCATCAACTGACAATGAGCTCAAAGAGTTCCTGTAGTGCCTACTCAATGCTATGGTATGAAAGTACCTTGTGTTTTTGTTGCCTTTCATGTCCCAATCAAACTTGGACTTCTGTAGCCACAGCCATTCCTCCCTTTTGGTCAATGACCACACTTGTCTCCTTACCTCATTTCTTCGTACTACTTCATATTCTACCAAGTCTCTGGATTCAGCCACCAAATCCACCTCATGTAACTCTTCCTGAGCCCTCTTCAATGAAAAGGACACATTTCCAAACACCTCTTTATTCCACTTCTTTAGCTCCATTTTGAGATTTCTAAATTTCATTACAATCACAAATCCTGTCCACCCAGTAAAGACTGATTTCTCCCATGACTTCTTAATAATTGAAGAAAAGTTTGGATGTAAGAGCCAAGCATTGATAAACCTAAACGACTTTGGCCCCCAATCCCTCTCATCTTCCATCAAAAGCAGAGGGCAGTGATCCGAAACACCCCTTAGCAGTTCCCAAAACTTCAGCTTAAACTTCGTCATCCACTCTGATGACAATAATACTCTGTCAATTCTACTCCATCTGCCCCATCAGCTGAATTACTCCGTGTAAATTGCATTCCAAGCATTGGCATATCAAATAGCTCTAACCCTTCAATAAAGTTATTGAACTCTAACATGCCTCTGTCCCTTCTTGTACATCATTTTCTTTTCCCTAAATTCCTAATCTCATTAAGGTCCCCCCCTTCCAAACACCACGGACCAAAAAATCCTGACGTTAAATTAATGATTACATTCCACAAATGTCCCCTTATTGAAGCATCATTTGGTGTGTAGACATTAATGAAAACACAATCAAAATCTGGAAGCATAATACCTGATAGTAGTATAAAACATCTTAAGCTGTAACACTGTAACAGTACAAAAACCGAAGGTCTCCAAACACACAGCAGGCCTCCAGCCGTTCCATTCGTATCTACACCCATAAATTCAAGCTCATCATCGGGCCAAACCGAACGCACCATATCTCTTGACATCCCATCTTTCTTGGTTTCTTTAAAAAAAATAATTGATTTTTCTCTCCTGGAGTAACCCCCTTATTTTTCTCATTTTCTCTGGTTTTCCAAAACCCCTAACATTCCAAGACAACACCTTCATTAGGAAACAGAGCACAACACCAAGACCACCTGATAATGTTATTCAGTGATGAATAACACCATCCCTCTGTGCTTCTCTCCTCGCATTATCCTCTTCTAACTCCACGATTCTCTGTAATGCTTCTTGTTCATTACCACTGAAGCTAATCCCCAGAGTTTACCCGCTTTTAAAGACTCCTTGGCCTATTCCAAGACTGAATTTTCACCCCGATCAGACTGACCTCCCAAGCTTGATCTTGACGGCGTTGCCGCAGCCACTCTAAAGACAGGTTCTTTATGCCATACTCCCATAGAAGACGAACCACCAAATCGAACAGCTCCCTTCCCACCTCTCTAAGCCAATCTACCTCCTTTTGATACCCTCTCTGGTACTAGGGTTGTTTTTCTTCCCAATGAATTTGCAATTCTGATTATGGGGCACTCTAGATCCTCCAACAATCTTTCCCAAAATAGATATGGGCTATGTAGATGACAATGGTGAACACCCATCAACATGGACCTGAGTCACTTCCTTCCTTTTAGGACTATGTCCCTCTCCCACAATTCTTTCATTGGGCTTGGTCACTCCCTTTGCTTTAACAACCTCATCTAATAATATTTGAATATTAATCCTAGGCCTTTCAGGCCCAGTACCGCTAAGGCTTCTCATAAACCCAATCGTAACCAACCCCACCTCCTCCCTACCCCTCTCATTAATACTCCTCTAGATCACAACTATGCTATCATTGGCAATACAACTATTGCATGCGTCTGGTAACTTTGGGTTCTCCATACAAGTGTTTATAGTTTCTCCCACTACAGATAGATAAGAATCGTCCAGCTCTTTACCTCCTCCACTACCCTCATTGATTGCCACATCCTCCTTTTGAAGAGAGACCATGTCATCCTGGCTTGCCACTTCATTATGCATAATGCCTTCCACCTTTGCAACTTCTTCCATGACTGGACTCCCATGGCTACTAAGCTTGTTCTCTGTACTGTTAGAGCTACAACAGTCATGAGTAGAGCATTTACAAGCTTATACTCTTGACACCATGACTTGCTCCTCACATACTCTTACTGGATAACTTTTACCTCTACACCTTACTTGCACTACTGTGCTAATGAAGCCCATAATCGTTATGGTAACTTTGACTCTGCCACATCTAAATGATAACTGATCAGACTTATCTTTATCCACCCTAATTACCTTCCCCCCACAGGCTCCCAATCTTGTTGAAAGTGTCAACATTCCATAAGTTAAATAGAACAGCCTAGCAGCACAACCATACTCATCTCTCGTTCTCGAAGTGCCCTAACTTCGACCACTCTGTCATAGAATCACACCATTCCTTCCAGCAACTTTCTAATTATACCAAGTTTGCCTTCAGCTCAATAGATGATTTGACAGACACCGCCGCTATCCTTCCACAACCTTTTCTTACTACAACTCCTTCTGGTCCTACATCACTGACTGTTTTTTTTAAGTCTAAGAAAGTATAGAAGGCTTTGAGCTTAACAGTAAGACTGTCATATGACCACCCATTTCCCACTTTATTCTCATCAATTGTGCGGCCCGTAGTCTCCTAAACATTCCCCGCCTGAACTGCTTCCGCAAATGACTTCAACCCTATGAATGATGACGCTGATTTCCCTAGGTGCCTCCTACTATTCTCATCACCTCGCCCATTACCATTCCCTACTACTACAGATTGACCCACTCCCTTAACACATGATGTATCCTTTGAAAGCTTTACTACATTGACCCGCAAAGCTTTATCATCGCACCACACTCCATTGGCCTTTTAGACTGCCATGTATGCCGCTAAAAGTCAATCGTACCTGACGAAACCAAACCTTGATCTTGTTGTTTTCCTAGTCTTGTTTGGAATGAATAGATCTCTAACAGCCCCAAACTTCATAAACATCGCATAAAGTCCCTTTGGATTCATAGATGAGGGAATATTGTCCACAAAGATTGTGTGAATACCTAGATTGCCATCGTCAGAACTTTGAAACTCTCTCCCTCTTCCATACAACACCGGTCGCCAGCCTTTCGCCTCCCTTGCCATTTCAAATAATCCAATATTGGCCTATTCATGATAATTTTGGTTTGTGAAAGGAAATAGATATTTTGATAACTGTTACTGATTTCTTTCGGTTACATCTTTTTCTTGCATGACCATTAAATTATGTTTAAAAGCATATTGCTAGAGATTATTACAAAATGTAGAGAAGAATCTAACTTATTTTACTAATACATTTGTAGGATGTAAAATTATTGGAGAATTACATTTTGAATCATATGTCTCCATTTTGGAGAAGATTCTTGAACCATTTGGCTGAAAGTTTGGAATATCTTTTCAAACCATTTTTGTAATCCACGTAGTTGATGCCAAAACGAACTATGTAACCCGAGCTCCATTCAAAATTATCCAACAGTGACCATGCAAAATATCCTTTCACATTAGCACCATCCCCATATGAAAAACAAAATCAACAGCAAACTTCGTATGTAATAGAAAAAAATTATAATTTCTAAAATTGTAACTTTCGCACTCATATATTTTGTAAATGCAACATTATTTGTTAGTCATCTTCAGAACTTACTTGATTGCTTGTAGAAGGAAAGAAAGATGGTGATAATAGTAATGTATCCTCGTGTTGTCGGCAAGGGCTTCTTCAAGTGATAATGTAGCGTTATTTGCCTCATCAATCCCTGAAATGGATGGGCCAAGAATGTTTAGTGTAAACTTAATTTGCAATCACAAATTTATTAGATTTATATGTTACTATAAATGAAACAATTTTATGTTAATGCAAAATTATTAATGAATTGATTACCATTCTTCGTGATATAAATAAGCGGATTATTATATTTTTTCTTCACGTAGAGAAGAATATCATAAATGCCTCTTGGATAAACAAAAAGCCAAGTTGAAGCAGCCTGTAAGATCGTGTAAAGTTATGGAGTTGATTATGAAAAATCTCTATTCATATGCAAGTTAGTAAATATATTAAATTTAAACAAGCTCCACAAGAAGAATTGCTTAAATTTCTAT